ACCCTAAACCCTTGGGAAATTTTAATAAAAATATAAAAAAATTACAAAAGAGAAAGAAAATAAATAAAAGCCCAAGCAAAGGGACATGCCCAAAGCAAAGACAAAAAAAACAAAGCAAAGATCTAGATAAATAAGATCTAAAACATCAACCCTGATCAACTGGAGTAGAGATATGGCCACCGTGAGAGGATCTTGGATTAGAATCAGAAGCTGGGAGGGTATCTTTTGAAAGGATAACAGGAGGGATACTAGAATCTTCTTCAGTATCGTCAACTCTTTGATGTGAAAGAGCATCAAACATGTTGGACGACGCATTCTTTTCCTTTGGGTCACGAATGATTGGCTTGTAGACTTGAGCAATCTTTAGAGCGGGGCCTTTTCCTTTATGGTTGTCAACTTCGACCTTCTGTTTAGGGATATGAGTAGCTCTAATTCTCCTTTTAACCATTAGAAAACCTTCTTTGTCAACTTCTCTCGGGATGAGTGTGGGCGCCTCTTGAACGGGGGAGCTGGTCGTATGAGTGGGGCATGAGGCTTGGTCATGACCAAAAGTTTGGCAATGGTCACATCTCTTAGGATTCCAAGAATACTCTACTCGGAGGTAAGTAGAGGTTGCACCTTTAGCCGTGAACGCTTTGATTTTTATTTCTTTAGCCCAATGAGTATTAGCCGACATCTCAATGAGAATACGCGCATAAACCGCTTTTCTTGTAGCCCGCTCACACATGGTGGTAGTGTAAGAGTCAACCTCCAAAGGCTTTCCAAGTTTGCTTGCTATACCCTAAACCCTAAACCCTAAACCCTAAACCATGTGTGAGCGGGCTACGGGTAGAGCGGTTTATGCTCGTATTCTCATTGAGATGTCGGCTAATGCTCCTTGGGCTAACGAAATAAAAATCAAAGCGTTTACGGCTAAAGGCGTAACCTCTACTTCCCTCCCTGTAGAGTACTCTTGGAACCCTAAGAGATGTGACCAATGCAAAATCTTTGGTCATGACCACGCCACTTGCCCCACTCACACGACTAGCAATCCAGTCCAAAGGACGGTCACGCCCATTCTGAAAGAAGTTGACAAAGAAGGTTTTCAAACGGTTAAAAGAAAAACAAAAGCATTTCCTCTCGCTAAAAAGAAGGTTTAAGTCGAAAATCGCAAAGACAAAGGGCCCGCTCTAAAGATAGCTCAAATCTACAAGCCAATCACTCGTGATCCGAAGAGGAAAAATGACTCGACCAACATGTTTGATCCACTCTCGCACCAAAGAGTTGACGACACTCAAGAAGATTCCAGTATCCCCCCTGTTATCCATTCCAGAGATACCCACCCACCTACTGTCATACATCCGAGCTCTTCTCATGGTGGTCGTATCTCCTCTCCATTTGATCAGGGATGACGATTTAGGATTTTTTTAGTTAGTTCTTTGTTTTGTTTGTCTTAGCTTTGGGGCATGTCCCTTAGCTTGGTCTGTTCTTATTTTTCTTGGGCGTTTGCCCTCTTTCTTTTGTATTTTTTTCTCTTATTAATATTATTTGCTAAGGGTAATCCCTTTTATCCAAAAATAAACCCTAAACCCTAAACCCTAAACCCCTAAACCCTAAACCCTAAACCCTAATCCCTAAACCCTAAACCCTAAACCCAAAACCCTTTCTTAATATATTTTGCCAAGGGGATTCCCTTTTTCCCCCCCAAAAAAAACCCTAAACCCTAAACCCTAAACCCTAATCCCTAAACCCTAAACCCTTTCTTAATATATTTTGCCAAGGGGATCCCCCCCCCCAAAAAAAAAAACCCTAAAACCTAAACCCTAAACCCTAAACCCTAAACCCTAAACCCAAAACCCGAAACCCTAAACCCGAAACCAACAAACCCTAAACCAAAAAACCCTAAACCCTAAACCCTAAACCCTAAAGCTAAACCCTAACGCTAAACCCTAAACCCTAAACCCTAAACCCTAAATCCTAAACCCTAAACCCTAAACCCTAAACCTTATACCCTAAACCCTAAACCCTAACCCTAAACCCTATACCCTAAACCCTAAACCCTTAACCCTAAACCTTATACCCTAAACCCTAAACCCTAACCCTAAACCATATACCCTAAACCCTAAACCCTAAACGCTAAACCCCTTTAGGGTTTAGGGTTTAGGGTTTATTTTTTTATTTTTGATTTGGGATAAAAGGGATTACCCTTGGCAAAGTTTAATAAAAATATAAAGAAATTACAAAAGAGAAAGAAAATAAATAAAATCCCAAGCAAAGGGACATGCCCCAAAGCAAAGACAAAAAAAAACAAAGCAAAGATCTAGATAAATAAGATCTAAAACGTCAACCCTGATCAACTGGAGTAGAGATATGGCTACCGTGAGAGGATCTCGGATGAGAATCAGAAACTGGGAGGGTATCGTTTGAAAGGATGACAGGAGGGATACTAGAATCTTCTTCAGTATCGTCAACTCTTTGATGTGAAAGAGCATCAAGCATGTTGGACGATGCTTTCTTTTCCTTTGGGTCACGAATGATTGGCTTGTAGACTTGAGCAATCTTTAGAGCGGGGCCTTTTCATTTACGGTTGTCAACTTGGACCTTCTGTTTAGGGATATAAGTAGCTCTAATTCTCCTTTTAACCGTTAGAACGCCTTCTTTGTCAACTTCTCTCGGGATGAGTGTGGGCGCCTCTTGAACGGGGGAGCTGGTCGTATGAGTGGGGCATGAGGCTTGGTCATGACCAAAAATATTAACCCAAACGGGAACCCAAATACATTAACCCAAACGGGAACCCGGTCATGAGATGTTTTTCAATAAAAACTTCCGCGTCCCATTTTCGGAGAAAGAGTGGGATTCCGTTAATCTTCCAAATGCCCTTTTAAAGAGCATAATTCATACCTTCATCGTTTTCAAATTTAAAGAAGAACACATCATCATCATTGATAAAAATGTCACAAAGTCCATGTTCCTTCCATAGATCTTGGGTTCGACTTTTAATAAACTTGAAACCAAGTTTATCTCCCACAAAATATCCATATAAAGTTCTTTCGAAAGGAGCATTACCATTTTCCATGATATTCGAGGGAATTAAAATGTGATCATCTTCTAAAATTTCAATATTATTTTTGAAATCAAGAGCAAGAGGCTTGGAAATTAAATTCTGCATCACAAGAATTAGCAACAGGCCTAGAGGCCGCGAAAGGGGTTGGAGTGGGCTCGACTGATTGAGGGCTGAGGCTACCAATAATAATATCAGCAAAAGATAAAGTGGGTTGAACATACCTTGGGCTATTAGGCCCTAACGAGAGAAGGGATGGATCATTAACATCTTTAGGCGGCTGATTAGGGATCGTGGGGAAGCAAGTCGTGTGGCAGGTAAAGGAGAAGGAACAGAAGCATTAAATATCTTGCCCCCATGATGGTGACCGCCATTAATGGGCATGGGGGGAAGGGGGTGACTTGGACAAGAAACCGACGAAAATTCATCTTCCAAGCAAGAAATCGGAGTGGGTACGAAGCAGGCATTAAATGTCGACGACCCCACAGGAGAAGAGCAATTAATGCTCGATTGGTACGTACCCAAGATTTATGGAAGGAACATGGGCTTTGTGACATTTTTATTAATGACAATGGTGTTTTCTTTTTTAAATTTGATATCGATGAGGGTATGAATTACGTGCTCCAAAAGGGTATTTGAGGGATCAAAGGCACCCCTCTCTTTTTCCGTAAATGGGATCCGGATGTTTTCACTGAAAAACCATCTCATGATCGGGTTCCTATTGCTAGCAAACTAGGAAAGCCTTCGGAGGTTTACTCTTACACTACCACCATGTGTGAGCGGGCTACGGGTAGAACGATTTATGCTCGTATCCTCATTGAGATGTCGGCTAAAGATCCTTTGGCAAAAGAAATAAAAAATCAAAGCATTCACGGCTAAAGGCGCTACCTCTACCTCCTTAGAGTGGAGTATTCTTGGATCCCTAAAAGATGCGAGCATTGCAAAAATTTTGGTCATGACCACACCACTTGCCCTTCTCACACGACTAACTCTCCCGTCCAAAAGACGTCCAAGCCCATTCCGAAAGAAGTTGACAAAGAAGGTTTTCAAACAGTTAAAAGGAAGTCTAGAGCAATTCCTATCCCTAAAAAGAAAGTTCAAGTCGACAACCGCAAAGGCAAAGGTCCCACCCTAAAGATCTCTCAAGTCTTCAAGCCAATCATTCGTGATCCGAAGAAGAAAAATATATCGACCAACATGTTTGATCCTCTTTCGCACCAAAGAGTTGACGATTCTCAAGAAGATTCTTGCATCCCTCCTGTTATTCATTCCAGAGATACTCACCCGACTTCTGACGTACATCCGAGCTCTTCTCATGGTGGTTGTATTTCTTCTCCATTTGATCAGGGATGACGATTTTAGGTCTCTATTTAGTTTGTTTCTTGTTTGTTTTGTCATTGTTTTGTGGCTTGTCCCTTAACTTGATTTGACTTTATTTTTCTTGGGTGTTTTCCCCCTCTCTTTTGTAATTTCGTTCTTTTTCCTTAATAAAATTTTCTAAGGGGTTTCCCCTTTTCCCAAAAAACTAAAATCCTAAACCCTAAACCCTAAACCCGAAACCCTAAACCATAAACCAACAAACCCTAAACCAACAAACCCTAAACCCTAAACCCTAAACGCTAAACCCTAAACCCTAAACCCTAAACCCTAAACCCTAAACCCTAAAGCTAAACCCTAAACCTAACCCTAAACCCTAAATTATAAACCCTAAACCCTAAACCCTAAACCTTATACCCTAAACCCTAAACTCTAACCCTAAACCCTAAACCCTAAACCCCTTTAGGGTTTATTTTTTTATTTTTGTTTTGGGATAAAAGGGATTACCCTTGGCAAATTTTAATAAAAATATAAAGAAATTACAAAAGAGAAAGAAAATAAATAAAAGCCCAAGTAAAGGGATATGCCCCAAAGCAAAGACAAAAAAAGAAAGCAAAGATCTAGATAAAAAAGTTCTAAAACATCAACCGTGATCAACTGGAGTAGAGATATGGCCACCGTGAGAGGATCTCGGATGAGAATCAGAAGCTGGGAGGGTATCTTTTGAAAGGATGACAGGAGGGATACTCGAATCTTCTTCAGTATCGTCCACTATTTGATGTGAAAGAGCATCAAACATGTTAGACGACGCATTCTTTTCCTTTGTATCACGAATGATTGGCTTGTAGACTTGAGCAATGTTTAGAGCGGGGCCTTTTCCTTTACGGTTGTCAACTTGGACCTTCTGTTTAGGGATATGAGTAGCTCTAATTCTCCTTTTAACCGTTAGAAAACCTTCTTTGTCAACTTCTCTCGGGATGAGTGTGGGCGCCTCTTGAACGGGGGAGCTGGTCGTATGAGTGGGGCATGAGGCTTGGTCATGACCAAAAATTTTGCAATGGTCACATCTCTTAGGATTCCAAGAATACTCTACTCGGAGGTAAGTAAAGGTTGCACCTTTAGCCGTGAACGCTTTGATTTTTATTTCTTTATCCCAAGGAGCATTAGCCGACATCTCAATGAGAATACACGCATAAACCGCTCTTCCTGTAGCCCGCTCACATATGGTGGTAGTGTAAGAGTCAACCTCCAAAGGCTTTCCAAGTTTGCTTGCTATAAGACTAAGACCATCTTTATTAAAAAGTTGGAGAGTGATACCAAATATATTAACCCAAACAGGAACCCAGTCATGAGATGTTTTTCAATAAAAACTTCCGCGTCCCATTTTCGGAGAAAGACTGGGATTTCGTTAATCTTCCAAATGCCCTTTTGAAGAACATAATTCATACCTTTATCGTTTTCAAATTTAAAGAAGAACACATCATCATCATTGATAAAAATGTCACAAAGTCCATGTTCCTTCCATAGATCTTTGGTTCGACTTTTAATATACTTGAAACCAAGTTTATCTCCCACAAAATATCCATATAAAGTTCTTTCGAAAGGAGCACTACCATATTCCTTGATATTCGAGGGAATTAAAATGTGATCATCTTCTAAAAATGTCAATATTATTTTTGAAATCAAGAGAAAGAGGCTTGGAAATTAAATTCTTAGGAAATTCTGCATCACAAGAATTAGCAACAGGCCTAGAGGTCGCGAAAGGGGTTGGAGTGGGCTCGACTGATTGAGGGTTGAGGCTACCAATAACAATATCAGCAAAAGATAAAGTGGGTTGAACATACCTTGGGCTATTAGGCCCTAACGAGAGAAGGGATGGATCATTAACATCTTTAGGCGGCTGATTAGGGATCGTGGGGAAGCAAGTCGTGTGGCAGGCAAAGGAGAAGGAACATAAGCATTAAATATCTTGTCCCCATGATAGTGACCGCCATTAATGAGCATGGGGGGAAGGGGGTGACTTGGACAAGAAACCAACGAAAATTCATCTTCCAAGCAAGAAATCGAAGTGGGTACCAAGCAGGCATTAAATGTCGACGACCCCACAGGAGAAGAGCAATTAATGCTCGATTGGTGCGTACCCAAGATTTATGGAAGGAACATGGGCTTTGTGACATTTTTATTAATGACGATGATGTTTTCTTTTTAAAATTTGATATCGATGAGGGTATGAATTACGTGCTCCAAAAGGGTATTTGAGGGATCAAAGGCACCCCTCTCTTTTTCCGCAAATGGGATCCATATGTTTTTACTGAAAAACCATCTCATGATCGGGTTCCTATTGCTAGCAAACTAGGAAAGCCTTCGGAGGTTTACTCTTACACTACCACCATGTGTAAGCGGGCTACGGGTAGAGCGATTTATGCTCGTATCCTCATTGAGATGTCGGCTAAAGATCCTTTGGCAAAAGAAATAAAAATCAAAGCATTCACGGCTAAAGGCGCTACCTCTACCTCCCTTAGAGTGGAGTATTCTTGGATCCCTAAAATATGCGACCATTGCAAAAATTTTGGTCATGACCACACCACTTGCCCCTCTCACACGACTAGCGCTCCCGTCCAAAAGATGTCCACGTCCATTCCGAAAGAAGTTGACAAAGAAGGTTTTCAAACAGTTAAAAGGAAGTCTAGAGCAATTCCTATCCCTAAAAAGAAAGTTCAAGTCGACAACCGCAAAGGCAAAGGTCCCACCCTAAAGATCTCTCAAGTCTTCAAGCCAATCATTCGTGATCCGAAGAAGAAAAATATATCGACCAACATGTTTGATCCTCTTTCGCACCAAAGAGTTGACGATTCTCAAGAAGATTCTTGCATCCCTCCTGTTATTCATTCCAGAGATACTCACCCGACTTCTGACGTACATCCGAGCTCTTCTCATGGTGGTTGTATTTCTTCTCCATTTGATCAGGGATGATGATTTTAGGTCTCTATTTAGTTTTTTTCTTGTTTGTTTTGTCATTGTTTTGCGGCTTGTCCCTTAACTTGATTTGACTTTATTTTTCTTGGGCGTTTGCCCCCTCTCTTTTGTAATTTTTTTCTTTTTCCTTAATAAAATTTTCTAAGGGGTTTCCCCTTTTCCCAAAAAAACTAAAATCCTAAACCCTAAACCATAAGAGGTTTCCCTTTTTCCAAAAAAAAACCCTAAACCCTAAACACTAAAACCCTAAAACCCTAAGAGTACTTTCTCTCTCTAGAAAACTCCTCTGGAGATTAAGTGTTCTTCTTCTTTATTGGGTTTTATGCTTAATTTCCTTTAATCTATTGTTAATTTGTTGTGTTTGTCATGGGAAAGATTCACAGGGTTATAAGATCATCAAAAAAAATCAAATTCTTATTCCAATGGTAATGGTGATGTTGACTCTTTCCATTTCGAAGATAGGCCTAGAAAGGAAGACATTATTCATGGTGTTCTTAATGGCCATGGAGGTTCTGAATCTATTACCACCTCTGGTTCTTCATCTGCTCTTTGTGTTAGCAACCATAGCAACAAATCTTTCTTCTTCTCTGATGCTTATGAGGTTGCTTTTGAAACTAAGGGACTGGTGATAAAGCTCTTCCAAAGACTGCTGCTAAAGATGTCGAAGATTTTGAGGATGGTGATGAAGAAGCATCTCTCATGATCCATCCTGCTTCTTTAAGTGAGACTTAAACTTCAGTCATGGAATAGTTAATGGAGTCGGTGTTGATGCAACTTCTTCTCTCGAAGTTTCATCTGCTCCTAATCCTCTTTCGCTCCCTAATATCGATATGAAACTTTTTAAAAAAGATGTAGTTGTTGAGGATTTTTCTGATTCTGATGTTGGGGATGAGGCTTCACTGATCTCTGTCACACCCCAAAACCGGAACGGCGGAAACGTTCTGGGGTGGAGGACGTCATGTTTGATCCACAAGTAATGCATCATAGTAAGCAAAGTAACAAACAACCATTTCATTAGAAAGAAAGTGTTTACAGAGTATGTGATTCATATAATATAGAATACATAGCAAATAACAAAAAGACATGAAGCTATACTGCTCCATCTTCTGAATCCCTGTGCGCGTACCTGTCTACTGGTCTCCTGAGAATACAAGTTATTTTGAAAGCGTAGATCAGCATTTAAGCTGGTGAATTCATAAGATTTTAGTGATGTAAGTAAGTTGTAGTAAGTTTGTAAGTTCTGTTTAGAAAAGTTTGCCTGTTCCTCCAGAAAATCCTATATTTCCTGCTTTGATGAAAGATAAGTAAAAATGGCTCTACAATCCTTTCTATGAGTACTAAATGGATACAAGTTATATAAACCAGAGTAAACAAACAATCGGTTGTGGTATCTGCCCTAAGCCCACAACCAAACAAGGAATAGGAAATGAGGCGGAAGGCACACATCCCATTGTTTGTTATATCATCGTTGTATATAACCCTGGCGTATTCACTTGGTACTCACGGAGTTAATTGTAATAGTTCCTTTATATTTGATGAAAAGATTCTTTAAGAAAACCCTTATTTCTTTTAATAAAAATGGTAACCACAGTGGTTCCTTCTATAATCACTTAGTTTATACTAGCTATATATAATCTAATATCGAACAGATAGTTAATTGTGTGATTCTGCCCTAAGCCCACAACCAAACAAGGAACAGGAAATGAGGCGGAAAGCACGCATCCAACTACCTATCGGGTATTATTATATATAACCCTGATGTATAAACTAAGGTATTATAGAATTAACCACCTAAGGTCCTTTAAGTTTATACTGGTTTAATAAAATGGATTAAACCCTTTACTGGTATGTTTCTATTTTTGACTACCAAATGTTCTATTTGAAAAGTATGTTTTGTACAAGAAAACCGTGCATTGAATTAGTGTCCTATCACCTGGCCCATATCTGGTACCCCTTATGATTACTTGGTGTATACAGAACATATATATAGCTAAGATCTGATCGATAGTAGGCTGGGTGAATGCTTCTCTAAAGCCCACAACCAACAAGGAACAGGAAATGAAGCGGAAAGCACACATCCTACTACCTGTCGGACCCGATTAATATATATCCCTGAATGCATACACTAAGGAATCATAAAGTTAGCATTATAGGCCCCTTTTCGACTGAATGTACTAGACTCGACTGTTCTGTTTGTCGTTTGTAAAATGAAAGTTTTCCCTAGTTATAACTATCTTGACTCGAAAATAGTTTGCATTAACTTTCAAGTGGAACAGTCACAAAATGAAAGTAATGAGAAATTATAAGTACACATTTGTCTTTTAAATTGACAGCCTGACGTACTGATTACCTTAAAACATGTTTGTTTTATTAATGTCATAATGTGATGAATAGTACCCATACTATACGCTCTCTCTGCAAGAGATTCTGGGGACCAAACTCGACTTCCGTATACAAATTGCTAGGCCGTGTAAATTCACATTAAAGTTATATGATCATGTATACCCAATTTTACTATCACCTTTTGTTTAGAAACACATGAGTTAGTGATTCATTGGTATAATTAAATCTTGTAGTATTCCTATGCTATAACATCTTAGTATGTTCGTTCTGTTATAGTATCTTAGTATGTTCTTTCTGCTATCATGTATAGTATATAGTATGTCTCTCTGTTGTATTGTATCTTCCTCCCTGTTTCTTTTTATAGTATGTTCTCTACGTTATCGTGTATTGTATCTACCTCCTTGTTTCTCTTTATAGTATGTTCTAGCATCTAGTATGAACTGAACCTCTAAACTATACCCCTTATAGTTTACTAGTATTTTACTTGAACTGTTATTGAAAAGACTCATTTTACTACTAAGTTATGCTTGTACTTTAAAGACGGAGTTTTGTTAAACTATAAAGTAACATAACTTTAAAAGAGTTTTTGAAAGTTCTGATAACTTATAAAAGCATAAGCAACTTTTGAAAGATGTTATAACAAACATTTACACAATTATCATTGTGTTCAACTTGTATTCCCCCCTTAAAAGCATTTAAAACAGTTAAAAGATTCATTTATAGGGTATGAACTCACCTTATGTGGGTGATTCAAGCGAATATGCGCGTAAGGATGAGAAGTTCCACGAATGAAGTCCCGAAACACAAACGAGTCCTAAATGACATATATGGCAAGTATTTGTATGAATATAGTGTTTATAAGCAACCACATGCAAGGAAACACCTCTAGGGACTAGGAAACACTTGGACCAAGTGTTAGAATCACATGTGATTCATCTAAGGGATGTTTAAGGCTACCAATTGGTGTTTACGGCCATGGGTTTACGGCTATGGAGTTTACGGCCGTAAACTCATGGTAAAAGGTGCATAAGAGGGTGTTTGAGTGATAGGGAAGCTTGTGGGACTATTGCTCTACAAGAGGATGAGCAAAACTAACCTTTTTAGGAGGCGTTGAGGTGTTTACGGCCACACCAAAAGTGTATGGCCGTAAACTCTCCAAATGGTGTCATTTTGGGTTATAAAGGCAAGGGTTCTCAAGGGTTCATGTGTTCTAATGGATAGCAAGTGTCCAGAAGTGTTTAGGGCTCATTACATGACCAAAACAAGGGTTTACGACCAAGGGAGATGCTCCTGGCCGTAAACTCTTGGTATTTATGGCTAGATGGTTGATTCAAGACTATGATCTAATGATTTACATTCCTAAATAGATGATAGATGGATTACTCACACTTTTGAGGCTTAGGAGTGGTTTTTCGGCCACCAAGAACAAGTGTGTGTTCTGGTGTTCTTGGTGAAAGTTGATGATCTTGAAGATCTAACAAAAGAGATGATTTTATGGATGAATGAAATCATAGGGGTTGTACTAGATTAAGAAGAATAACACTCAAGATGGAAGAAAACACTTACGTTTTTGAAGATCTAGGATGAAAGGCTTGATGATACTTGAGAGAGAATGAAGTTTTCTTGAGGTGGAAGTGTAAGAATGAAAGAAAGTGAAGGGAATGAGACTTCGGGGGGAGTTTTACGGCCAACCTTGAGTTTACGGCCGTAAACTCATGTGACATGGCCGTGAACTCCCTTTTGTGGTGTAGGCTTGAATGTTGTACAGTGACTCTAGCAGGTACTTCCTAACATTCATTCCTTAAGTGTACTAGGTTAAAACTCCTTAGAATGACCATTAACAAGGCTAGAATCATTAGAAATGAGTCTTGACACTCAGTTGAGTGAATGGTTGGACTTTTTACAGGCAAACATTTTCGGTTCACAAATCTCTGCTTCTCCTCTTCATGCGTCAGGAGAGTTTGTTGCTCTGGTTAAGCAGCCTCAAGGTCCTGAAGGTGACGTCGCCCAGTCGATCTCTTCTCCGACAGCTAATTCCTCTTCACCTATTGCTCCTTCCCTAAGCGATGGTGGCGTCCGTCTTCTGATCGGCAACCGCCGGTCAAAACCTCAGATGGTGGGCCCAAGTTGTTTTGGAAAGATTCCCTGCATCTATTGGAAAGGTTCCTACGTTCAATTTCTTTCTATCGTGGTAAGGATTTTATCTGTTGGGGAAAGTCAACTTGCTCTTGATAGGGGTGTAGATGAAATCGAATTTATGGACAAACATAAGGGAGATGGGGATTCTTTGGATGCATGCTCAAATGTGGCTTCTAACATTAATTGCCCTTCCTTAAATGGAGTTATGGCATTAAATGCTCCAGTTGTGGACCCCTCTTCGTTTCCCTCACAGGCCGATAAGATTAATTATTTTAATCTTGAAAGTCAAAAGTCGCTAGGCGTGGGGTCCTCGGCATTAAATCCTTGCTTGATCCTCTTTCGAAAATTTCTTGGATTGATGCAAGTCGGTTTCTATCCAAGCACCCACCACGCAAATTAATGACCATTTATTTGGTGGGGTCAAGTCTTTGAATGTTGGAGGCCAAACATTAATTGCTTATCTAAATCCCTCCAACACTCCTGCTAGGCGCGTGGAAGGCCATCCCTCCACTTTG